ATCTTGGATTTACTAAAATATTTATTCTGAACCTTGAGTTAAAACTAGGAGGTGTTACCATGAATTGTAATGGGAGAGGAGAAGCTATTCTTCTCCAAGGAACACTCCCTGAGATAGGTGACCAGAAAGGGAATCTTTACAAACATTAGCACAGACATATCAAGAGCCTCAGAACTTTGTAGGTCTACGGAGGATTTTGACACTCACTGATTCCAACCCCAGGAGAACAATGAAACTGAAAACATCAGTTATAACATGGACAAGACTTCACAAGGAGTCATCCTACTGACCTCCCATTGCACAATTAGAAATATGTGCTCTTGGACCCCGGGATTACTTTAAACTGCAACATGAAAATAATTTCTGTGACATTTTGATTTCTCACGATAAGTTACAAAATATAGGAATAGTTATCCTTTATGAGTCTTTCAACATGACTACTGTTGTTTGTCTATTTTGAAAACACTGATGTTTTCTCTGAGAGAAGGCAATTTACTTCAGTTGCTTTATATATGTTGTGTATTCATTTATATATGCACTGAATTAAGAAACAAAGTTTAAAACTCTTTCATTGTTTTTTCTGTCAATAATTTTTGTATTGTGATATCCATTTTAAAAATGGTTATGAAAGAAGAATGTAGGACTAAATATACAAAGAGTATCTAAATAAGCTGACTTTTATCCCATAAATACTAAGTTTTATAAACAAGGATTTTGAAGTGCCGAGTATATAAAATGAAGTATCCATAAGTAAATACAAGGATATATATTGTGAAATCATGGTTACTAGATTCAATTTTCAAAAAACAAATCTTCATGACAAATAATCTATTTGTAAAGTTCACAAGAATCATGGTAAAAACTCTCATATGCATTATTCCTTTGCATTAGTCAATAAATAAAACATTCTGAAGCCCATGTCCATGAATAAAGTTAAAGTCACAATTACATTTAGCCAAAAATGTTACCATTTGTATAGCATTATCATTCTCTAGTACTCTAAATGTTTTGATCTTAAAACTATATATTACTCTTACAGTTATCCACTTTCTCAAATGATACTGAATACTAATGTTCAAGGTTAGTGTTGTTGTTGGTAAAATATTTTCCCAACAATTATCATCTTTAGTGAATTTTACATACTCCAAAATGAATTTACACATCACTTTTGATAGCATGATATCAGAAGAGGGAATATAACATATATTTCTATAAAAGGCTAAAGTTACATGTGTGTATAAAAATAAGACATTGAGCCTTTTAAACAAATTTACAAGATCTTGTATTTTACTTGAGATTCTATATCAGTTTTTTGAGGAAATTTTCTGAATGCATATATTTAGAGCTTTTTTGCTTTTATTCAAGTGTGCAAGGGCAAATTAGGAAGATTAGAATGCATTAAGAATGCACAGTGAGAGTCCTCAACCTGTAAATAATCACATACTATGATATTTTTTATCTGAAAATAGTAAGTTCCAAAACATATAATAAAACATATTAAAGCTAGTTGAAGCCTCAATTGAGAGAGTTATGAGAATGAACTAAGCCTTCTACGTGGCCCCAAAAATTCTCTTTATTGTCATAAATGGGGATTGAATTAACAGTTGACTACAGCAGGAAGATTGTACATTTAAATCTAAATCAAGGCCTTTGAGAGGAAAACAGGAGGACCCAGCCCTGAAGGTCTCAAGCAAAGAGCAGTGTTTTAAATGAGATATCCAGTGCAGACAAATTGATTTAAAAATACAATTATCTGCCAATGCAGTGAACCCTTTCCATGAAATATACAGAAGAATGAAACATTTTTTGTGTTGAGTAAGGATTAAATCAGATAGTGATGGGCATCTTAGACAATCTGATGAGATTTAAAAAAATAAAGAAATCTTATCCTTTTATATAGCCAGGCATACAAAAATCCATTACATACATGTTAGGTTTCCTTACCAAAAGGAAAATTAAAATTTCACTGTATTTGAGAGGCAGAAAGTTGTATCATGGAGCCATTTTCCTGGCCTTAAACTCCCACAGAAATGGGAGACAGAATCTCCTCAAGGAAATAATTTAGCTTGCTTGTATTAGTTGTCTTTTATGAATTGATAAAATAACATTCTATGGGTTTCAGCCCGTTAAAACCATTCAGAAGTAAATGGAATATAAGATGATTCATAAAAGGTAATAATTAAAATTTCCCAGGAAACAATTTCCAGTATTCACTTCACACATACTGTTAGCATGCTTAGTATAGTTTAGCTGATGCACATTTTGTAGTCTGAAGCTCTCATGCCCATTTCATAAGGAGCTTACTTTACTTTCTGACATGGCCACCGAGCTTTAATTTTCATTGTTCCTCAAGAAGTTGCACTGTCTCTCTACTGTAGTTTGTAAGACTATTACCTGTAACTCACAAAAATTCCAGTCCTACATTCAAAATGCACAAAGTTTAATAGAAGGAAGTTTCAAATGACAGTGTATAATATATGCCATGTGATCAAAAAATATACTGAATATTTAAATTTTTAAAAATTTATTATCTTAAAAGACCCCTTGCCATTAATCTTCTTCAAAATACTCCTCTTTGCTTGGAACATACTTATCTCATCATTCTTGCTACTTACTGAAGCAGTTCTTAAACTCTCCTACAATGACTATCTTTACAAGTTGTGATAAAAAATTTGATGAACGTTGCTGCCAAGTGCCATCCACACTCATAAAAAATTGTGTTGGGTTCCCACCCATTTTATTTAATAGTTCTGACACCTTGCAACATCTGACTTTTGCCCAAAGTCAAAATGATCACGAAAGATAAAGGAGTTCAATTGATTCAGGGCATGAAGGCAGTATTACAGGAAATAGTACTGGAGATTAAATATGAAATATTATATCTCCCAACCTATTAACTGTATGATACACCAAGTTCTTGTTCTCTAGCAATCAAAGAATGAGTCCTAGGAGCAATGGAGGTTGAGAGTAGGAAGATATTTATTGATAAAAAAGCTCCTGAAGAGCAAGCAGGGAACCCGAGTGGGTAGCCCAGGGACCCCCACTTTTACAGAGGAGTTTTATAGGGTGAGACCCATTTGTGTACAATGTGGGCCACAGCCATGAACATCCAATAAGGTCACAAGTATAGTCACTTAGGTAATGACGGACCAATTGGGAAACAAGTCATGTAACACCCATGGATGGAAAGATCAAAGATTCTCCTAGGAAATAGTGGATCCAGAGGTCTCTGGTCACCCAACAGGTTGGTTGATGTCTGTCTAGACTTCATTAGGGCCATTGTTTATTCTTTAAGGAAGTATGAAGGTCTGGTCATCTTGTCTTTATCTTGAGGCCTGGTTTTCAGCCATTGTGTCTCCGGTGTAGCTGTGGTATGTTTCACCTTTGTCCTGACTCTCAAGAACCTAGCCCTATCTGACAGCCTATAATATTTCTATCTAGCTCATCTAGCTATAATAATGGCTATGCAGCATAAATAAAGATGCTAGCAAAGAAGACTCCCAGAACTGCTTCAGAAAGTGGCAAGAATGATGATATATGTTTGAAGCAAGGGAGAGAATTTTGAGGGTGATTAAATGGCAATATGTATTTTACTGTAATTAATATTTTTAAATTTAATCTTCACTGTATGTTTCAATTGCACCTTGCACATACTGATAGACAATGTATATGGGTATGTGTGTTTTATGATAATTTTTATAGGAAGAAAATTAATATAAAGTTTCATAATATCTTATAGTATCTTGATATCTTAACAATGTTCCTCAATATCTTGTATAGTATCATAGTTAATTCATATTTTACTAAGTTTCATTGGGACAAATTTGAATAAATGAATCCACTAGACATTTGTTGACATAGTCCATAGTCACATGGCTGATGCAGTTTTGTGATGTCATCTTTATAGGTCTGGTGGCTGACTAGAAAGTAAGGCATTTGGGGGCCATGGTCACTTCCAGGATGCAGTCATCAGTGTGAACCTCTCCTGCTTTAAGTATAATATATCCAGGAGACAGTTTTTAAATACTTTCTTAGGGTGCCCTTTTTAGTATGAAACTGAACTTTATGCTTTCTCTGCTGATATAGTGTTCCAAGTATATCTGTGGTCTTAGCAATAAAGTAGGCAAATGCTCAGTAATTTCTCTTTTAGAAGACTACCTTTTTAGCCTGAAATGAGAACCCTCTATTAATATGGACATTTACTCCACAGTGAATCAGTTTTCTCCCTTCTTTGCATTCTTGACAGACTTTTCTTCCATAGGTCTTATTTACTCATTTTCCTTCATCCTTTCTGTGAACCCTGGCTTCATTTCAAATATGTGACTACAACATTATTAATGACAGAGGAGGCATGAAGTAATTTCCCTTCTTATGTTATAAAATTGTACATTACTGAATGAGAGATTATTAGTGCATAAATTCAGTTATGTGACATAAAAACCATGCAGCAAACTATTTTAAATAAAACTGTGAACAATAAATAAATATGACACAAGTGGTCTCTCAATTAGGCGGTGGGTATTAAGGTTCATATTTTCACCATCTGTCTTATAAAAGGTTGCATTATATTATTTGTGATTTCATTTGTTTCTGTCATACTAGTTGAATATTTTTCATAATATTTCTAACAAAGTTCTACTACATTTTAAAGGAAAAATTGAGATAAATTGTCGGTGCTAAAAAATACTTGAAGATTCTTAGACATAACCTTTCCTTTTTAGTTCAAAGGAAGTGTAGGGCTCTCTGTTGGTCTAAATCTTGCCTCAGGGATATGAAAGATCCAACCTAGTTAAACATATAAAATGATATTTTTAAAATGATAGACCTTGATCACTAAATTATGCAATTTGTTTCTTACATCAACACAGACCTGTAAGTTTTTCTGACAGTGTATTTTTTTTCTAGCAAAGAGAGTACTGAGAAACACATCCGCCTGGTAATTTGCACACAGAGAGTGTGTTAATAACCCACCTCTTCCTTGTTTGTCCCTCTCTTTGTAGGCTAACTGGCAGCTTTGTACCGGACTTGATAGTGAGCATGAGTAGCCAAATGTGGCTGCACCTTCAGACAGATGAAAGTGTTGGATCTGTTGGCTTCAAGGTTAACTACAAAGGTAATGATGACTTGCTGCCGCGAGGAACGTTATCTTAATACCACCAGAGAATACTTTTAAATTCAAGTTTAATTGCATATACAAAGTCAAAAACATTTTTTAGAGCACAAGTGAGAATATATTATAATAAAAATCATTTCATTTTTTTTTACTATAGATAATGATCCAATTTATTTTTACATAAAGAGTTTTTCCTTTAAAATATGTCTATTTTGTATCCCTCATCCCTTTCCCGTCTGTTAGGCTGTCCTTGTGCTCTTTTGGCTCTGTGCTGCTAGTCTTCCCCAGCATATATCATGCAATTTTGTGTTCCTTAAATAATGCAGCTGGCCAAAGTCTCCAAAGTATTAAATACTTAAATGTAACAGTAATGAAATTAAATAACCAAATATTCCACAGTACCAATTTTTATCTAATACATCATCGCTGCTATCAGATCAAATACACAGTCTCCTGTTGTCTATTAATGCCTTTGTAAATCATAGAACACAAAATTATAAAATTCCTACTACTCATCCCAATGTTGGTTCAGGTACAGATTAATGATTAATTACATGTGAAAAATAAAATGTTTTATTCTAGGTCTAGTTTTATTTTAGCTTAATTTATGAGATATATTGTGAAATGCTGCATATCTTTGACACATATCAAACCCTGATTAAAGTCAGTATATATAAACAATATACCTATTAGAAATGCAGATTTGCAATTATATAACTGTTAATAAATTCAATTAAAACTTTTGCTTTAAGAAAAGAAAATGTAAAACAGGCCATCAAAATGTTGAGTGGCTTGAATTTATTATTTCCATCATGACAAAATTCATTGTTCTCTATCTTATCAGTTAAACAATGCCTGTGAAAAACTCGTCCTTGCATAATAATAATTTTTAATCTGAGTTTCCTTTTTCAACCACTGCCATGCTTTTGCATCTGGACACATTGAAATGAATTCATGATGTTGTCAGGGAGACCGGGCACATTTGTTCTGTATTTTTTAACTTGTGACTAAATTTGGTACTATATTAATTTGAATAGTTCAGATAATCTTTATAACTGTCAGTTTTTTAAAAAGATTAATCTGATTAATCTAATTGTATTTGTTAATATATTGTTCCTACGTTTAAAATCCACATCTACTCCCAGTAAATAAAACTAGATTACCACATGCAAGAAAGGTGAATTTATGTTCAAACTACTGGATAATTTTCTTTTTGCTTTTATTTTCCCCAGCAAAAGGACTAATGAATCTGGCATCATTACATTCTTTTTTCTTTTCATTTTGTATGTGTTACCTGTCAGAAAATCTATAGTCATTTAAATCTTAGAAACTATATTAATTGTTGTTGATGTTGCTTCAACAAAAATGTACAGTTAATAAGACTCATGGTCAGGATATAACAGCAGGGGAGCTGTCTTGATATTTACACAGCTCTCTGTTCTGTTGCAGTACCAGAACTGGAAGTACATTGTAAAGTAGGACAATTTACCATTATTTTATTGTCTTTCTGCTTAGTTATCAGCAAAAGTAATTAAAAAATTTCATGGATCTACAATGTGCCATGTACTACATGAACTGTCGAATAACGGTAGAACATGTGGATTATCTTTTGGTCTCTTTCCCAAGATGATCATAAAATAGTAATAAAAAATAAATTACATTCAACTATTCATACATAAGTATCACAAGATGAGATATTTGAAACCAACCTATGAGATTCTAAATGAATAATTCCCTTGTTTTTCTCTTTCCCTTTCATCTTGTGTGTTCCATTGTAAAATAGACATTACTAATGGTGATCATTCAGTATCACACATGTGTTCATATTATACTCTTCCTTAAAATGCTTAATTTTCTATTGCCTCAAGGCGAAGTCCAAAAACCCCATAGATTTGTTGTCTATCTTTCTCTATCTTTATTTTAGTTTTTGTCCAAACTCTAATTCAAGTTATCCGTAATTCTCTAAACTCAGCAAGTTGTTACACACTTTTTCTTCTTGGAATATTAAGTGAATTCTTCCTGGATCACTATTCCAATTTTAATTCATCTTCAAAGACAAAATTAAAATGTCCCTTCTGTAATATCTTCCTTAACTCTTTACCCATCAGAGTTGACCACTTCTGTTTCATAAACTCTGCACTCAAGTATGTCTTGTCATTGTATTTCTGGAGCAGCACCCTGTGCTGTGTCATCATAATTATTTATTCTGCTAAGCAGAACAAATTATTTGTTCTATGTAAACAAGGTAATATAAGATAATATATATGTTGTCAGGACTTTTGTTTACCATATATATATATATATATATATATATATGGGTTGTTTTTTTTTTACTCTGAGAAAATATGTATTTTATTGTATAGTTTGTCTCTAAAATTTTTTAAAATTTTAAATGGAATGACTAAACTATATAATGTAGACTTTGTTTCTTATTATGTGTTTTTGATTAATGTTTTTCTAATTACCTAAGATGGAGCTTTTGAAACTTGTCTTTAAAGAAAATAAGATATCAAATACTGTACATGAAATTGCTTACAAAACTAAAATAGGAAGAAATGGTTAGAAACAGAGAGAATGGGAGTTGGGAAGAAGACTAGATTTTCAGTTAGGAAGACTACTTCTCATTCCCTTTAAAAGTACCAAAAACCCTAGGAATATAAACATAAGTTGAAAATTATTATTTTAGGACAATACTACTCACTGAGAGGCAAACATTCAATTGTGAATGTAAAATAATATATAATTGCCTGGTTGCTATTAATAGTAGAACTTCAGGTTTACTCTTTGAAACTATCCATGCTTTTTTTTCCCCTGCCTATCTTGAACAGTATCTGCCTTGAAATGTGCGAAGACAGCCAAATGTTTCAAATCAAGAAAATAGCCTCGTATTTTAAATATGATTTTATTCAATTAGGATTTATCATGTGCATGGCAGAGTACTGATTACTATGTACTATAGAAGAAATGAATAAAACGCAACCAGATACTGCAGAAGTTACTATTTTTAACTTGTTAAAATCAATAACACCCACCTTGAGTATAAAAAGACATAACTATCCTGATTCTCAGGAGACTTATGTGTTTGCTAAACTTTTGGTCCAAGATACGACAATAGATGTTCCTGTTGAAAAGGAGAATAACCTTACTGCTCATTTCCCCTGAAGACATTAGTTTTGTTTCCTTGTTTCTTATTGCCATCCCTTGAAATGCGTATTATTCAGAAGTGAAGTGAAAAGGAAGAGAGTTCTTCTCAGTGGACACATTAGTATTCATTAACACTGCATCACTTTTTGGATATATTTTCATTTTCATCTTAGAAAGACTACAGAACATTAAAGGGATAATTAACAATTACTTACAGCCTCATATATTCCAATCTTTGTGCCTACATTTACTCATTAAATCTCATTAGAACTGCAAGAGGTAAGGATTATTATTCACTTTTGGAGATGAGAAAGCTAGGATGTAAGCCCTATGATGATAGATTGTTTAGTCAGCTTTGTTTATGGTCGCCTTCTCAGAATGCCTAACATTCCTAGTGCAATGCTTAATGTATACTAATCATACAATAAATGTGTGGAATATGGAAAAGAATGAATAAAAGTCCTAGCTGATTTATTAATGTGAGTAGTAGATCAGTAACTTTCAGCAAAGCATAGATACAACTCTGCTGACTCCACTTTTTTTCAATATGCAGTAATACATCCTAGGTCCTAGGTGACTTCAAGGGATTTTAAGAAGAAACTGGTGATAAATCCATGTGAAGACCATAAAGCACTGAAGGACTAATTAAATTATTCAGCTCCCATTGTCTCATCAACAGAGGCACATGCATCCACAGACACATAAATGAATACACGGAAACATAATATGACAAAGCCTGATCCATAACAGGGATCTGTGTCTGTAATTTTTATTTCTATAGTTACTCAATATTATTTAATTGAAAACTCATGGCAGAAATATATAAAAACACATCTCCAGCCTTTATAGTGTTGTAAGGTTATATCAGCTCCTCCTTTTAGAAATTAGATGTTACAATTGTTTAGTTAACTTTCTGCTGTACTTTTGCACATATGACAGCATGTACCCATAACAATAATTTTAATATCTAACACCTATTGAGTGATAACTAGCTCCATGTGCTCTTGTAAGCACATGTAGAGTCTCATTGAATTACTGCAATGACTCTGTGAGGTAGGAAATAATATTATCACTACTGATCAGATGAAATTGAAGCACATCAGATTAGGAAATTTAAGATCACATGGACAGGATGTGGTAAAACTCTAAATTCTGTATTTTTAAACTGCAGCCTTTAAAATATTTTATTTTTTTCCATGGATCTTAGTAGAATTCTCAATTTATTTATATATTTAAAATTTGAAATAGCTGTCAACTAAAATACATGTCCAAACTTTAAAATTTGATGATGCCATCTGGTTTTATGGAATGACCTACAATTTTAAAATGGAACATTTTCATGAAACATGATTATTTTCCTTAAATATTTAGAGTCATTAATTTTAATGCTGTGTTGTGAACTCAGAGTCCTTGTGCTTCATTGTAGAGCTGAGGAATAGCAATTCCACTGTTTGCCAAATTTAAGTCTTCTAGTAAATAGGGCATATGCTAGAGATAAAAAAGCGCTAATAAAAAATTCAAAATTAATTATACACAAGTATTAGACTGAAAATTGGGTTTAAATAAAATTAAAATCCTTTAAAACGTTCATTAACTGATAAGAGATTTTCTGTACATCAAAGAGTGTTTTTGGAGGTTTATTGGAATATTTTACAAACAATTTCTGATAATATTTTATAGAATTACTTGAAATGTAAAAATGACTTACAAACTATCAGGTATGTAGATTTTACATTATGTTTATAGCAGTACACAGATTTCTTCCCTCCTTTCCTTTTTTCCCTGTTTTCTCTCTTCCTCAATCTTTTTTCTTCTCTGTCCTTTCCATCCTTCTGTCTGCTGTATTATTTTTATAC